CCGTATCTAAAGTACACAACGATACAGTGTTATTTGTAAACAAATATATAACGCTTAAATAGTGGCGTCATTATAATACCTAGTAAGGAAGTCGTGATTCGCGGAAACTAAGGGGGCTAACACACTGGCAACGAAACAAAAGTTGCGTATTCAACTGATACTTGTTAGAAAAAACGTAAAATAAATTTGTTCTCCACTACATCATGTGATTTCATATTGCAAATTGTTTGTCAACTGTCCCGGCTTCTAACCCCACATGTTCCGTGACTTCGTTCCTATGGTAAAACAACGTGCGCGAGTATTTCGCGTGCAAGCTACATAACTGACTCAAATAACTACTGGGTGCCCTGTAAAACAAAAGCAACAACTCGTACAGCTAACAGAATAGTACTTTTTACATTCACATGTATCGCATCCGTCGCAAGGCCTAACTGTTTCGACTCTTTTATAGATTTAAATATTATTTTTTTAATAGACATTACGCGTTTAAAACCGTTAAAGTGTTTTATTTAAATGTGTACTACTCGCGTGAACTATAGACGACATTACTTTTGTACAGCTGATCCGGCTGTGTTGCCCCGTTGTTAATTAAAAAAACAAACTTAGTAAAGAGCAACGGGGACCTATATTTTACAAATTTTTCCGAACCGGGGGGAAGCACACCCCCCTGCTTTCTCCCATTTCACAAGCACTCTCCTTAGTTACTACTAACTTCTTCCTCTTTTTTTTGTAATTATTAAGCGAATTTAAGTAGTTTAAGTTTGAGTTTGAACTTCGTAATCGTTTCGTAATTGTTAACTCGCAGTAATAAGATCGCCAAATGTCGCCCAGATGAACCAATCGGCGTGTAAATCAAATAAATGCGGCGGTCAAGGGCGAGTGTCTCTTTGCAGCTTGTGCGGCAGATGTCTGCTTGGTAGTGATTAAGATAGCGACTACGGGGCTTATTAATAAAAATAAATCTAAGCAATATAGGAACAAAAAAAGGAGATTTCTACCAATGGCAAGGCTTAGACAACAATTAAACTCGTTTAACACTGTTTATATTAGATTTTTACGTAGTTTAGTAAAGATTAGATATATTAGATAGTAGTTTATTTCAAATAGAAATATCTTTTACGTTTCAATAACTCAAATGTGTGCAGATAGACAAAAACAAATATATTATAATAGTAATATTATGTGCTTGAAATCGTGATCAATACAGATCCATCAATTTAATTTATATGACACAATACATATAGACCTTTATAAACATATTATGTACAGACAGACACAGAACACAAAGACGTTAGTAACGTTTCAATCAACGCCTAATTTTGGTGGTAACTAAGGTATGTTGAAGGCATTTCGTTAGTACATCGGGCATGGCCGATAAGCGGCAATCTGCAATCGCCCTAAGCGTCTGCTGATAAGCTATCACGCGTTATCGTGTAGGAAGGGCATCCAGGGCGACGGCTCGTCTACGCTTTCTCTCGCAACACGGTCTGGGTGACACTGCGCCACCACCACACACGGCTCTTTGATTGATCACAAAATGGTGCCAGTAAAAGTTGTAAACAGTCGCCGTTTCAGAGTTAATCTGATACACATTCCAATAATTGGAAATAATTTCAGTGCGCGGAGAAATCCCACATTACGAATAATAAAACTTGAAGTTTTTTATCCTAAATCCATGCATATATAAGTAGATGTTGTTACAACTTTTACTAAAATTGGCTATAAAAGATAAGTTTAAAATAACAATACTCAACGTCTAATACGTTATTGACTATAACTAGTAAAGATATATAACCATTTAATCTTTAATAGATTTGCAAATAAAACACTTCAGCGTACTTCAAAATAGGTACTAGCACCTTTCTCGAGAAAGATTTAATTTAATTGCACGATGTCGACACCCAATCCATAAGTGGTCGCGCAATTTAAATTTAAACATAACTCTCATTTTAGCATTCGGTTTATTAACGTCATTCGACATCATCAAAGAATAATTAGTATAATCACTGTCCAGTAATTTTCCAACGGCTTCAATGCGTGAATGTAGAGTTGTGGAGGATGGCGTGATTGATTAGAGAAGAGTGGTGGTAGTGCCTTGCATATGCAATATGAACTGGATTCTGGAACTGAATTCAATTTACGCTCAACACCAGTACTGCCGAGAGAAACTCTTGCAATTGTTTTTAAGCTAAAGTAACCAATATTTTATTTAAAAATTCTTAAGTTTGAAAAACCACTTATCCCGAAGAAATGAATTGTTTTTTCTAAGTATGTATTTTTAATACCGTTACAAAACTAAAATTTTCATTTCACTATCTGTTTTATTACTTTATGAATTGCTGAAGAAGCTTAAAAACAATATCTCTATTGCGCGCGGGCACAATTCATTCGAATCAATTAATTATTCCCATTGTGTTTTCTAAACTTTTACGTGCTACTAGTCCGGTCTAGCGCTGTGACTCATGCGCTGTATTATATGTTAATAATATATTTTGTGTACGTGTTCTACCGCACGACATATATAAACATTAAATTAACTCTTAATTATGCAATTCTAATAAAGGACCTTTGAAAGGCATTTCAAATAATTGTTCGATGTATGAGGCCGCTAGAGGCAGAGTAGACTAACTGCAATTTTATGACTTGACTTATTTAGTAGTTGAATTTTATAATCTAAAAATGTTAATCTACACAAATAATAATACAAAATCATTTTCGCTAAGTTAATTGCGCATTTTCATTTTCCTCCTTATTAAAAATCATGTTTTTTGTTATCATACAGACAGTGCTAATGCACTTTCTAGAGTTCAGTATTTGTGAATAACTTAACATTTGCAAATCTGGTGTCATAGTTGGAAGACAAGAGACACTGACTACTTAGTCACATGACTGTTTAAAACGCGATAAAAATTATTTTAACTAAGGCCGGAGGTTTGCTAACCTAAAATATGTAATCACTTTCTGTCATTTAAAAGGTTAGGATTAGGCTTAAAACATTATTATTTTCCACATAATAGCTTTTTTTTTAATTAAAAAATTATTTAGAATGAAAAAGTTATGACACGAGCAGTTGAATCATGCTCGTGTCATGCTTTTTGGAAGGTACGCGAGAGGTTCTTGTAAATATGGAGCAGCACATGGTAGCGTATTAGGAAAAGTAAAGTTGCTGGTAACAACCAATATTGCCGGGTAAGAAATTTGTATCTCTTCGGCTTTAACTCATTCAATTACAACGCTATTACACACAAGAAATACCTATTGGAAAAATAATAATTATATCGCTCAATTATATCTTTGACACATCCTACATCATACAATGTTGCTAATACAGTAAAACAATTAGCGAAGGCCGCTCTAATCGCGGCACTCGAATGGAAAACGATAATTATCGGCTTGTCCCATTGTTGACTGTCATGAGGCTGTCATTGGTTATCGCACCATGAGCACCAGTAATTAATGTTCCCACAGCTGGGACTCGGACATAATGTCCAAGGTAGTCAAAGTCATATAGCTAAAGAATCTAGCACGTTAACACAATACACATCGATTGATAAATTTTTTTCACAATGTTTTGTTCTATAGCCAATATTTACGAACACAAACGGGGATACTTCAGTATGATGTGTGAGCGAAAACAATTATATATTTGAGAGCTTTTTTAAGATAGAGCCAGCCCGTGTTGAAACACCCCAGCAATATAAAATCTAAACAAGATGCGCCGTCGATCTAATTTAGCTTTGGATATTTGGAAATCCACAGACTAAAACCGAAACGCGAAATAACTTCACGGTTTTATTATCTATGGTACATGAACCGGATGGAATCCGATATTCCTACCACCCATTTAACAGCATTTAATCTGGAGATTACCAGACGAAGACCAGGTGGGGATCGAACCCGCGACGCGTTGATTTTTAGCCATTTATTGCTACCATTACACCAACGAATCACAAGTTTAGTAGACATCGCTTAACACCGAGATCGTGACTTACTGTCTGTATAGCAACCGCTGATGACCTTCGAAGTTTACGAATGTTATTTTCCTAGACCCGAAGGAAAACCATCAATAATAATTAGATTCGATTAGTTATATTATTCTGTGTGCTATTTTCAAGAGGTAATGTCATTACATCTATTTCATTATATTCCAATATTATTAAGAAAGTTTCATTTTCATACGTACTTAGACTTTAACTTTTTTTTACTTATATACTCTCAAATATATCCTTTCCTTCACTTAGATAAAATACAATTTGACAATTACACTGACTACATATTACGATTTTCATAATGAGCCGAACGTAATGTTGTGTGAGTTCTACAATGTTATGTTGCGAATGACATTTATTTAACATTGCCTAATAAGATTTGGACTTAAAGCTCTAATCTCTACTCCATAGAAGCCATAGAAGTTGAATTACACAAAAAGCCAAGTCACGACTACCCATTGGGGTATCGTGTCACGCATTTGTCGAGTATATTATTATTACTTTATTAGTAGTAGTCTTTGAACGCGCTAATCTCAGGAACTATTGGGTCCAATTAAAAATGTCAATACTTATTTTAAAGAGGCCAACTAAATACATAATAAAATCATAATCTATAAAAACAATTTAATATAATTTATGTGAAGATTATTAAAGGCATGCATAACGTTGCTTTGAAATTAGATATAGAGAATATATGGAAGTAAACTTAAATGCGTAATTTAAATAATAATGCTTAAACCATTTAGCTGACAATAGTTGTAAATTGATTTCTTTTAGTCCAGTCATATAAATTACCTCGTTTTTAAGGTGTCACTAAAATGTAGCTTATCTTTTATTTGTATGGCAGCTTCTACTTTTTAATTATATTCAACATACACATTTTTTATATACAAGTTATAGGCTATATGTTCCTTTACGGTCTATTATGTTTTTGGCTGTTCCTTGTTTAATTAAATAAATAATATTATAATTTAGAAAACTACTGCCACAACGCTAACAAAATCGACTTACCCTCTCGTGAAACTTGGCGGAGTCGTACTTCCTTTCGGAGCAGAGGTTGTAGATCTTGTAGTGGTCCTTGTGCATCTGTTCCAGGAATCTGTATACTTCGTCTATGTGGTTCCTGTATACACCTTCGAGCTTCTCCGCCGGGAAGCCCATGGCTATCAGCCGGTCTGTTATATCTGAGTGCTACGTTCAGGAAATCGCAAACATCAATAGACTAAGCTTATAGTGACACACTGAAGATATGAGTCGTTATTGTTGGCAACACAGGTACGATCTAGAGCTTTGCATATTTTTTGCTTCAGGACTTTCTATCAATACAGCAACTACTTTTCAAAGAAACAATTGATTAACAATATTCGGATTCTAAGTAAAACAATTAATTATCATTATGTGTAATTTGTAGTAGCTGAAGTAACTGAAATACGAAGATCATCATGCCCGTTGGTATGTTTCAAAAAGAAAATAGATAGTACAAGGTACAGTACCTATATAGAAACTGAATTATGAGTAAACGAACTTCCTTACTACTAGATAATGAAAGGAAATAAGAATCGTTTTATCTATTAATTTTAAACACTACATAATCCAAACCTGTACAACTGTGCGCATTTCATTGATAAGGTTGTCGTGTATCTTGCTCGCCTCGTGTCGATCGCGAAATTCGCATGCTTCTAGGACAACCACTCGTGTTCACAGTTTATAGAACAGTTATACAGGAAATAAAGTAGGACGGTGTCATAACGTCATTTGGAACGTTTTATGTTTTTCGTAGTTATTTTATTCCTTTTACTTATGAATCTTGTAGAGAAGCTAACTTAATTTAAGTATATATGATTATGTAAGTAACTACATGTAACTTAAATTGATAATAGATTATAAATTGTAAAGATTTACAGGGCAGGACTTGAACCGGCATTCTCAGCGTTCCGTGCTGTTGCTCTAACCAATTGAGCTACAGATTCCTACTTAGCTAACGAAAAGTACTCTTAGAAATTTAAATATAGAACAACAAGCGACATAGAAAAAGCCATCGAGTCAAAAATAATGTTATTTTAGATTGTATTGAATTATGTTTCCAACTGAAAGATATCCATAAACTGTGCACAAGCCACAGAGGAAGGCTTTATGAATACACAATGGTTGCACATACTCGTATCTACGCATATCGCGAATCGCTCGTGACCCTATAAAATTAGGATTTGTATGCGAAATAACAAATTTTTGTTGCTACGGTTATTTTAAGCCTTCTGTATCAAATTTTCCTGTTAAAATACAGTCAAGAAACATCAAGATTTCATTTTATGTTTAATACGGTATTAAATTTATATAATGTACAGCTTCATACATTTAATTTAAAAGTTAATAAAAACAATTTTACACGATTTTTTTTCTATGTTTACAAAAAAAAACGTATTAATTGCATAACTTTTTAACTGTGAACGATATATATATACTATAGGATATGTTTAAGGATTGGCTTAAGGATTATTTCTTAAATATTGCGACTCTTTATCGGGAAACACTTGTCAGTGGTTATACCGAGCTGTGGTCGAATTTTTTTAACACAAACTGACTTCCTTAGGACTATTGCTGTAACAACAGTAGCATGTGAATTATAAGGTAGTTTTAATTTATTTATGTATATATAAACCATAAAACTAACGCGGTAAATTAAATTTTAATTTTTTAATCATTAGTTTTTTTTTATTATGTGCGTAGAAATTCGCAGGTTGTTGTATTAAAGTGAAATTTGCGAATTATAGCATTACTGATTAGAAATTACACTTAGCAATTATGCGGGACTTCCCCTTAAATGATAATAATATCAGCAATATATGTCAATTTAACGTGAGTGATACGTAATTAAGGTAAGGTTTATTATACATTTATAATATTAGGTAGTATAGATTAGTATGCGGCATAACATTTTCTTTAATATGTCATTTAAATAAATAATATATAATAAATAGAACACATTTATATAAAATACTTTGAACGGTTTAAAACGGGAAATGTATTAGTTACGGTATTTATAATTTATTTTACTACGGCCCGACATATTACGGTCGGGTAATACATTTCGCGTTATATACCGTAAAAAATGTTTTATTTAAATTTTTCCTTTATTATGAACACTAAACTTAATTTAAAGCATGTATAGTTTTTACTTAAATATTTTCTATGGAAAAATCTTTCATTGTTTCTCTTCAAGAGGACCAGTGAGAGAGTTTGCATATAAACTCTATATTTACAGGATTTTAATCGACTGCATATTGTCGACATTTTATAATGAGCACAAAACCTAATTAAAAACAATTAAAGCGCCATTACACTACAAGTGAACAATCCTCTGCTGAATCCATCTGTACTAGTAACTTGTTTCCTTGCGTCGTTACTCGTTACTGTACAAAATGACTTTCCCTTCCTAAAACGATAAAACTCACCCTGACACTAATGACAAGAACGACAACAGTTAAAACATCGAATGCGCTGTCTTAATTCCAAGTTACATCTAAATATGAATATTTAATATCACGTTCAGTTTCGTAACTAAGGTTTTTCTATGTTAATGGCGTCTGGGATGGTTGTGAAATTAAGAATTTTGTCTGGCGATGTGGTATGTCAACATGGCCACAGTGTACACGTCCGGCAGTGGCTCAAGATCTCGTGGCTGGAGATGCAATACAATAAGAGATATACATTGTTTTGAATACGAAGAAGTGATTAAACAGAATTGGGCACTGAGTTAGGCTGTGTATGTTAGCTTAAGAATACTGTTAAACTGATGTGTAAACCGCGACTTAGCATTACTTTAATCGTAATAGATTTCTTATATGAATTTAAAGATATACCAACAAAAACAATGTGTATAGATTTACATATATACAAATACAATATTTTGGATTACTGATTCGTTCACCTACTGCATGGGTTCAAAGTTAATGGTAACCGGTTTAGTTACAACTTTTACGCATTGTATTTTAATATCACCGATATGCTCTAAGGCCCTAGGGGACCGGCTCACCTGTAGCTGAATTGAATAGGCTTAAGATCACTTCTAACGAAGACAAATGTACACTCGTCAGTAGTTGATATTCTAAGCGAAAAAGAGGATCAGCACAAACAAATTTTATAATTTTGTACTTTGTAATTTTGGAATCTAACAGGTAGAATAGGAAAAACAAAGTATCTGCTACATTGTTTTTTTTTAGCTAAATACGATTTTTTTTTTGTAATTGTCTTCCATTGTTACATACCTAGACACCGTTTCTTTCACGTCGTATATTACATTACAAGATAAAAAAAATATATCGATATATATATATATATATATATATATATATATATATATATATAGTCGAAATTACAGTCTACAAGCCGTTTGAAGTTAACCTTGTAAAATTTCAATGTTTTTAATTTTCATGGCTAATGTCAAGTAATTATTATTGTCACAATTTCCACTATGTAACAGTATGGAGAGGGCCATGTACTGTTAACATCAGAGTACTATTAAATCACTTATCATTCAAGTAACTATTGCAAAATCGTCGTGTGTACGTCTACCAAATTCTCAATTAGCCATACAAACTGCACAACTCCGTCACGACTTTTTATGGCAACATCATATTAATCTGTAACATATCTTTGTATATTCTAAATGTTTATACCTTTGGTTTTATAATTCATTTAATGAAGCACTTTATCGAATTTCTTTGGAAGTAAGTAAAACCTTAGTTTGTCTGACAACAATGATTTTAGTCTTTCCTCTCATAGCTCTAAGTAAATAAATATGTACAAAATGCATTAACTTACAGAGATAGATTTTATTAAACAGCAGGACCATGGCACACAGCAAAGAATTTTGTACAGAACTCATTATCTCACCTAACACACATATACAACAAATCTAACGGCCTCCTTTGCTACAATTAAACCGACAAATCGCGTAAGATAACACCTTACACCGCGATAATTGTCTCGTACCTCGCGAACGGTAATGTTACACCTAAATGTAACCCGCACCCTTACCGCATCGTGCGGTGGAGTCGTAAAACTTGAGAATTCCTGCATTATTTACGCTTTGACAACTTTATGGGAGAACAGTGTCACATATAAAAATCGCACAATTTACATTGCAGCCGACCTTTCAATTTGACGAATAATCTCCCTTTTGGTTATAGGTAAGCATTATATGAGATTAAGCAATATGAAAAATTTTACTTAATCTTCAATATTTGACGTGAACGTATTTTTTTAAGCATACGATGATTGAATGAAGCAAGCCACTAAGCACGATTTGTGCAACAAAAAATGTAGCCGCATATTTGACTGTTAATCTTGAATAAGAAATGGTTAATTTAGTTGTGACTATTATTAAAGGTTGACAGGATAAATTAGATAATTTATAGAGATCACGTAAATAATATTTTTAAAGATTTTTTAAAACCACTAATATTTTTATCATCTACGACACTCAAGTTTCGTTTCACAACTATTCTGGTGTATCATTATTTGCCAGCGGATATTATGAAATTAAGACGTGTTATTGAAAAGAAGTATGTCAGAATTATCGGTTTGCAGTCGTAGTGATTCATAATCTTCTTTGGAAAACGAAAAATTGGTTACACGAGGGTTACAGCCTTATAAAATAAAACCTTTTCTGATCTTATTTATTTCAACATTGTACAATTTCAAAAAGAAACTAAGGTAGTATTATTCAGGCCATTATTTCGAATCGAATGACGACCGATAATTCCGGAACCGATTCAGTATTTGAAATGCAACGGTGGAAGATTCTAAAATAGGTACGTATAAAATTGAAGTCATGTTACCTCATCAAACATATACAGGCAAATAAGTAATTAAAGTTCTCCGCCCAGCATAAACGAAACTCGACTCCTGTCTGCCATAATTGTAACCCACATTACATTTTATGCCTGCACCGTAACCAGGTAAAATATATTGCGGACTCAAGCGCACACATCGATTATTTTGCAGCGAAATCGTCGAATAAGAAGCGACATGTGTAATAGGTATTAAGGCATTTAATGAGCTTTAGCGAAGACGCAGAGCCAGATAAACAGTGCAACAACCCAGCCGATCCAATTACAATAAGACAGCGAAGGGGATCATCTAGACGGCGAAACATGCGC